TTATACAATCATACAATAATGTTTTTTTCAAGCAAAAGTATTGTTCCACAAGTTGTATGAGTATTACACCTATGTATATTATAGGTAGGTAGTTGAGTAGCTTACAAATCCACCATTAAGATTTGTTTTGTACTTTAAAGAGTTAATTTCTCAGTAATTTGAGAATAAGATGGACACAGATATTTTAACTATTCTAAATTTGTAACAATTTTTTTTTTTTAGTTTAAGATTCAGAACAAAACTAATTTTTAGGTAGGTAGTAGGCACGCATAAAACATATGAAAATTATATACATAAATGCACATAGTGAGTACTTGCAATGTTAAAAACGATTCTTAAAATATGGATATTGGAGAAGAAAAACCTGAATATTTCAAAATACTTATTCTATAGTAATTTATAAAAAAGATCTTGGGGGACGAGGTGACCGAGTGGTCTGACTCTTCCGCTGAGACGCAGCCGGTCGCGGTTCGATCCTCGGCCACCGGGCGGCATTTATCTCCGGACAATTCGCGGTGACCGGAGAGCAAGTGCTGCCATCCCCCACCCCCGGGGCATGGCAGAAACCTACGGGTGCCCCATTCGAAATTCTGCCAAAACAAACACACACGTGTTCCCCCTACCGTTCCAAAAACCTACAAACCATCAATACAAAAAAACCTACAGTACCTACTAATAGCTAATGGCCTCAGTTGCCGGGCTTAGGATCAATTAAAAAAAAAAAAAAAAAAAAGATCTTAGTACAATCTATATCATGATTTATGGTTATTGTATATATTTAAGCCTAGACAATGTAAACAAACTTTAATTTAGTTAATAGTTATGGTTTAAGCTCTATCCACCCTTTAAAAGTAGGTAGGTACCTATGACGTTTTTGACATTGACATATCTTATCAATACATTTGTATAATAAATGATTTAATGATAAGGTTTGACAGCTTATATCTTTTAAAAACGATGTCTATTGTCTGTTAAATTGGGGTCACTACTCACTATATAATAATCGGTTATACAATTAAGATAATTACAAAAATAAAAATTTAGTTTTAAAAATAAACTTTATTTTCGCATCAATTATGTGTCAATTAAATAACTCTAGTGGAATAATCTTATCAGAAAATTATAGTTATAATACATTTTACTTCAAAGCTTTCTAATTTAATTTTTTCAAACAGTTTGTGTGTTTCAAATGCTAAAAGTATACGTTATGGATACTATTTGAATATGTACTACGGAATTTTAAGGATATAATGTAAACGCACGTGACTATATGTTAAGATGAGTATCTGGAGTAATAGGTACTGTAATAGTATTTATACGGAGTTCTTGAGAGTCTGACAATTTTTGATAAATTAAAGAGATTTGTTGTATGATACAAAATATGAAAGCACAACATTAACATATAATTTAGCAAAACTAAATAAATAGGTGTGGACCACTGTGAAACTGTCAACCTGAGTCATGAATACAACTAAAATATTATGAATTAAATACCTAGGTATATAGGTAGGTACTTACTAATTTATTTATAGTTAAAAACAATTTCATTATATTGTAAACGTAGTTTTTTATCGTTGGATAATGTATTATTTTTATAGGTACATTTGGAAATTATCATACAATTAATTTATAGGTAAATCAGATCATTTTTAAAGCAGATTATTTTTTTTTTCAATTAGAATATTTTGTTTCACAAATTTTAATTAGATTGATATACAATATACATAGGTAATTATTTTTAATAATATCTATTCAAATTGCTTTATAGCAAAACATAACTGACGATGACGTAGGTAAATGTTAAAAATACATAATGTCTTAAGTTATTAATGATAGGTATATAAATAATATTATTGTGAAACAAGCGGAGTACCTTTATCTACCGCTAGTACCGACCTACAACTTTAAAAAATGTTCCATTATAATTTTAAATATTATACAACGATTTTCTCACTATAAAATACCCCCATATATAATAGTTAATATTTACGCAAATGTATTAATAAAATGTAATATATTTAAACAAATTGCAGTATGACTACGTTTATTACCATGATATGTAATAATATTTTTTTTTGTAACATCCGATTAGAGGATAATAATAATCAACTTAAGAAATGGAAATTATAAGAAGTATATTATTGTAAGTCCAGTCTTTGAGTATGCCCGTAGATATATGATAATTGCGACCAGACGTGGCCGTTTCATTAACTTTGCTCGACCATTGTATTATAAATTTAGATGTCAGGGATCAAAGGTCTCCAAGGTCTTATTCGTTCAACCGAAGTTTATATTCTATTAACGTCGCTGCAATGTACGATGGTTTCCGAACCGTAGACTTTTTCTTGTTTACCGCGCATTCCGCCGTTGCTATTGCAGCCATAATGAATGTCCTATTTGCGCAATGCCCGAACGCCAATAGATATAGTAAGTAATAACTAATAAGCAATGAATAATGAATATACTTACCTTTTTTTTATCTCTGCGAACACATTGTATCAAAATAATATTATACTCGTATGCAGTGTTTTTCGTGATGTTTTGACGAGTGAGTTGTATGCACAACTGATAATTACTTTCATATACCTAATATTTTTGAGCATTTATAAATAAACTATGATATTGACTGGACACCCTAAATGGCTATACCTGTTTATAATGCATAAGACATAGTTAAGCGTGTATCTTAAATAGCCTAAGATCACTACTGAAAATATGACCCAATTGTTAGCACGCCCATAAATGTGACAGTTCGTTAAAATTGATACGATGCGGTTTGCGTTTATTGCAATGAACTGCATATTGGTATAGTCACCGGTCATGAACTGTGTGCCATTCCAAAATGGTGAGCTTCGGAGTCAAGGCATCTTCATAAAAATAATAAAATACTAGTATTATACGATTTACTCACATTACACGTGATTCTGAAATGATGACCAGACATAACCATGGCAATTATTGACTATAACTACCTACATTAATCACAGCAGCGCCACAGTTGACAACGATATGACGTGCCATCACATTTAATGTCCAACACGCACATTGGGAGGTAGGTATACACACTATATTGCTATACCAACACCACACCGAACATATTATTGTACAATATGTACAATATTATATGTAATTATACCTATAAATTATTATGAATACACAACACTTTAACGAGTATTATAATTGTATTATTATATAGAGATGAAAGTATTCTCGAAGAAAAATGAACGAAAAACAACTTTTTTAGTTAACAATTTTACAGACATTTATTTTTTTAATATTGTACACATAAAATATAAAAAGAAGAAAAATACATGTCAGTCAAAGAAGACAGAACATTAAACACGTAAAATATAATATAATAAATATTATATCGTCTATTTTAAATTTTAAATTTTTTATACAAGTAATAAAAGTAAAATAATAATATACACTTATACATAAACATCAAACTTCACAAACTAGATAGAAAAATCTTTTAATTTATAATAACAACGATATAATGTAGTAACGTTTTTTTTAGTATATATTTATATATATGTATAATGTATATAACAAATGTTTGGCAGCTCAAAAATGGAATAATTTTGCCTGCCATGTGCTTTGAACGTGTCAATTTTTGACAAATTTACTATTTACTGTAATGTAGATTGTCAAATAATTTAAAGTAATAAATACATAATATTTATAGGAGTATGTACCTATGAGTGAGCATGGAAAAAGTCCTATCTAAGTTCACTTGCTGTCCTGAAAAAAAGAAAACACGGGTTCTCCTCAATTCTTAATATTTTTTTGTCAATTGTATTGGATGTTTTTCTACCTCGGTGTGAATATTGTCATAGGGCAGACGAACCTTAATACGACTCTCTACAGTTATTATCTTTATCAGCTATTATCAGTTAAATGTCGACGTTTTTGTGATAATCATCGTTAGGCAGGCATAACTCATATTTGATAGTGACTTAACAGGTCTGAACTCAAAATATTATAGAAGATATAAATGGTAACAATAATTATTTGAAATATCTATTTACTATATGTACCTGCTTTACCTCTTTTATACCATACGATATAGAGTATTGAAATATTGTCTAGGTCAGTAGGTAGGTGTTATAGAAAACTGCTCAATTGAAAATATTCTTAACACGATGTAATTTATAAATTAATTAGTAAAAAAAATATGATGCGGAGACACCGGTGTATTATGGTAGAAAATGGAGACATAGTATAATATTAACTGAATATAAAATAAACCCATTGAGCGATTTACCATTTGTTGTACAAACGTTCGTATACAGATACAAAAACAAGCTATTATTATTGTATAATACAAAAAATACGACTAACTTACAAAATGACAAAATGTAAGACACCAATGAATGAATAAAAAAATAAACAACATTAATTATTTTATACTTACAGTAAAACACCTTAACAGTAAGTTGTTAAATAATTGTTAATAGTTTTCAGCGTTTTTTTTTAAATTTAAAAATTATATAAAATGCTTTTACCGAAGAACAAGTAGAGTGTTAACAGAAACAGAGATTTACAAAAAAATTTACTAAACCTAATTTTGGACAATTTACAGACAAATATGGGGGAAAATAAATAAATAAATAAATAAATAAAACGAAGTATTAGTTATTTTTTTTTTGTGATTACAAAAATATGTCTTTTAAATTGTATTAATTTTATAAGAAAAGAATTCGTACCGTTTTAGCCTTCAAATTTAAATTTGTCCATAAAATAAAATTTTCAAAGAAATACCAGTAAAAATATATGTTGGAATGCAAAACAGGCATACCATAATAATAACAAAATTGAAAATTACAGTTATATTGATAAAAAGCAAATAAAATAAATGCAAAAGATAAAATAGTACATACTAAAAATGCTAAAAATAAAAACCTGGGGATATTCTAAAGCCCAACAGTATATTTTAGCAAGGAATGTATTCGTGCATTATATTTTAATCATGGTTTAATCAGGTACTTCGATGAGTTTGATTCCTCGAACCGACACAACTGCTATAAATCTGGGAACCAGCTAGGAGCAAATTAATATTAAATATTTTTTCACACAACATGAGAAACACGGCTTGACTACGGAATACATTTCTATATATTATTACGAATTCACCTATTTGGATTGACAGATTTATACGATTCACAGATTCAGATTAGTGAATAAATAAAATATCTATTGCGTTGTCAGATGTTAAAAATCCTTACTACTTGAAAAGTACACAAACAGATTTAAATTACTCTACGATGGCGTTCGCTACATTCAAGATGATCCACATTAAAGATACAAATCGTGTAGCACCAATAATTATTACAAATATAGTTATGTCCCTGTTTTAATTTTGGCGACTTCATTGCCGACGGTATAAATACTCTGTGATCCAATAATAATGATAAGATAGGAATCGTAAGATGGAGTGACTCGTACATTGGTAGTGTAACTAAACATGGTAACAGTGGTTTCTTCCGTGCCTACCTTTAGGTAGTAAGCACCTTTGCGTATGAAGAATAAAAGGGAATAATTAAAGACATATTTGTATGATTGCGTCTACATGTGACCAGTGTCACCTGTTTGGAACCCCATGTGATGCATATGTTGTTGTTGCGACGATCCTTGTTGCTGCTGGTGCTGTTGTTGCTGCTGTTGCTGTTGTTGTTGCTGCTGCTGCTGTTGCTGCTGTTGTTGTTGTTGTTGTGCTAGTAACGCCGCCATTTTGGTTTCTTTTTTCGTTCGTTGCTTCAGGTGAACTTTTGCGTGTCTCTTTTTTTCGTCACTTCTTGCGAACTTACGACCACACACGTCACATGTGAACGGTTTCTCGCCAGTGTGCGTTCGAATGTGTGTCGTAAGATGGTCAGATCTGGAGAACGATCGCATGCATATACGACACTGGAACGGTTTTTGGCCTGTGTGTATACGGATATGCCTTGTAAGTTCATCCGATCTGGAGAACCGACGGTCGCAATGCTCTACCGGACATGCATATGGTCGCTCGTGCACCGGAGTCTTGCTAGGTCTGTTTGGGTACTTCCGGGGTTTCACCGGGACTAGCTTCAGTGGTAGTGATGACTGCTGGTACACTTGCGATAGTATTTCGTGTCCTTTGCTTGTCGATGGGTTATACTCAGCTAGCTGGACGCTATTATAGCCACCCTGCGACACGCTCGATGAACCCGGGGACTGAACGTCTACGTTTACCACGTTTGTGAACTCTTGTTTGGGAATCATTTGTTGTTGTTGTTGTTGTTGAGATTGTAATTGCTGATGCTGTTGTTGTTGTTGCTGTCCACCGTATTCGACCGGTGAGTCCAACCAGTGGTATTTATTCACTGGCGATGACTGCTGTTGCATCATTTGACCACGGTTGTGGTACATGAGATCTTGGTCGTTTCCAGTCACTCCACAACTGGCATACGTGGGTGGTGCTTGTTTACCACAGTCGATACTCATTCCAAGCAATTCTACTTGACTCTGTTGAGATCTGTCTTCGTAGTGAGGACTGGAGCTGTGGTATGAGGTGGGCGTGCTCGACGGTTGAGGTTGGAGCAGGTTGAACAAAGGTGGAAATATGTTCTTGTCTGGGCTAGGCAAAAGCCACGAAGTGCTGAGGTGGTTGTTGTTATTGTTATTTGAGGAACTAGTTGAGCACGGAGCTGTTTGCATAGGACTATTAGTTGAGAACCTATAACTGATCCTAGACTGCCCTGGTGGTATACTGGAGTTAGTTGTGTACATGACGTCCTGGCCGCCATCGTCCTGCTCCGGTTCACCTCCGATGGCTTCTGTTTTCAATTGAAGCGATACCTCTAGCTTGTGTTCTATACCACTTCTATTGCTACCATTATCATCAGTATCTTGCAATGATCCTGAAAAAAATATAAAAATCTTCATATATTATTTATATAATGAACACTATATTTTTATGTACACTTATAACAATTAATCGTGTTTTTACACTTCGAAAAATAATCATATAGGTGTAAGACTAAATAGTTTAAAAACAACTTGTGACACGTGTCGGCCAGTGATTATTTTTTGTACAAAATTTGGATTTCTGCCACCATACCACATTACACATTTACACGTTTAATAATAACTACGTGCAAGTTATATATGACTATACGGTACGAGTACAAACACCAAAATTTCACTGATTGCTGCAATCCATTACTAGGTCTTACCTTTATTCATTTTGGTCACACATTTTTGTCAATTTTAGTTTTATTCCTCAATATTATCATATTTATTTTTTAACACGATACACTATATTCTATAATTTTCCAACGCTGATCACAACGCATTATAATATGATGTATACGGTGTATATTGAATGATATTATTACGTATATTATTTTGATACATAAAATATTGTGTGGAATAAAAGAGGAAACTGTAAAATGCAGAGTGAAATGATAATAATTATTGTATACGATATAAAGGATTTCAGCCGGAATCAAAATTTATCGATAATCTGTTTTTTTTTTTACCTTATCGAATTTTTGATAAATATTCACAATTGATGAATAATATTTTTAGACATCAGAATTTATAGATGTTGTGTATACGACTGTTTGTGGTTTTTTTAAACTTGTGTCACATATTTTTCGGATTATCTCGACGGCGACGACAACTGGTTTATGCTGATGGTGAATTTGTTACGTTTTTGTACATACTTTTTATTTTTATTATTCTATCATCTTTTTAACCCATTCTAAACTATGTAACCATTGCAACGCACGTACATTATGATGTTGAGCACGTATACGGTATACATAACTGAAGACCTTATTAGAGACATTCGTTAATCTGTGAAAATCCCGTATAGGTACCTACTCGGTATAATGTTGTATAAAGATAGAAATAGTAATAAAAAATCTTTTTCTGAGCCAAATATTTCAGTTTTTTTCTGCGTCCAGGGCTACGCAAACACTTAAAACGTTGTAGAGTCATTATTATTATTATTTTTTTTTTTTTTTTGTAAAGCGACGGAAATGAAACTGTCGTAGTTTTATATTAATTTCATACATTAATAACGTGAACAATAAATAACGATTGTAATAATTGTTTGAACATTTATTTTATATATTATATTAAACTAACGTAGATCTAAAATAGAGAGACCATAAACAATTAAAACTTCTGATCAATGTTTATATTAAGTAGTTTTTTTAGTATCACGTTATATTGTTATTTATACATTCTTCTGAGACTCGAAAAAAAAAATAAAACAACTGACCCAGTGGTTTGTAGACTATTGGGGATCACTATCAAGGCACCACATGCTGAGTGTTTAACTTTGGTTTTTATATAAATATACGAGTATAAACAACACTGCCACAAACTAGAATACATTATTTTTATGAAAAATATTAACGTGCGTATATTATAATGTAGTGTTATAAATCGTCCGGTAAAACCATGGGATGCCGAGAGAAAGCAAATGCCGCGACATTTTTTCCAGTTGGTTTCAAATTTTTTGAAAAAAGTAAATACAATATTATAATATTATCATCTATATATCTGTAGATGTTTGCTGTTGTCGTCGCCTAACGATCAGCGTCGTGAGCTTATCCAACATGTAATAATTCACACATAGTACACACTCGTAATACCTAAGTATATAGCCATATAGGTACAAATTTGTTTAGGGCTTATGAATTGCTGTTGTTGAAAATGTGTGACGAATTGGTGTATTGTATTAAGACAACTGTTGTATATTTTTAGGTTCATATTTCTATAATGTACTGCAGGTGGACAATGCGTAAATATGTGAATATTGTAGTATTGGTCGACTGCCAGATATTAGACGAGGTATGTTAATAATGTTAATATAATAGGTGCCTATATATATTTTTTAATTTTAAAATTAACGTCATTCTCCCCGGCAGGCAGTAACACGAATTTGTTTGAACTAATGCTTCTATATAAATTCCCAATGTTTACTCAAAGATCTAAATAAACAAATTCTAATCGTAAAAAAAATAAAATGTTTAAAAGCAAAAGTTTTTAGACACGCCATAAAGGCGGCCACTTGGCGATAAATGTATATTGTATACGGTTTACATAGTCACATGGTAATTAATACTTGTGTTGGAACAAGCGGATTATACATGTAATTAATTTACGCAATAGAAAAATATTATATTTGTTGCACAAGTTTAAGAATGCTATTGGTCATAAACTAGTAACCGAACGGCGGATACACGGCAACGCATATACGCTGTAAATCGATGGATGCACTTTCCTCAAGTACATATGTGTGTAAGTTTTCATTAACAAACACTTATAATATTAAAACTTATATTAAATATTATTAGGATCGCCAAAAATACTTTTGTGATCGTGTAATCTAAAAAAGACTACAACGGTTTGGTTCTAAGAACTATACAATGGCATTACAATCGATTATGTATTATAAAATAGATACTTTTAATTTTATCTGAGTATAGCAAGCGGTCGTAATAAAAAGTGAAATCATTCGCTTCAACTATATAACGACCTCGTCAGTTGGCTATACAGGGGTCGGTTATTTGCGGGTTGTGCGTGAACTTGGTGGGCGGGAGTGGAGAGGGGAGGGGGTTGAGTCCGCGGGTATGAAGAATATTGATTTTGACTTCATCGCATAACAACCTTCCAGGAAAAGCAATATATAAAGTACGCAAATTATTATAGAGTAAAATATTTTTCTGTCAAATTTCCACACACATACTGGTACTTACCTATATAATATATTTATAATACATGTATATTGTATATATATATATGTGTGTGTATAATAATTATATTATGTATATAGTATGAGACTCCATACCATAGAAGGGATACCTAGTTAACTTCACAGACGCCGATTATATCGCAACTCGACATTGTATTTTCCCTAAGTAGTTGTGTATAATTTATGTATGTATGTATATATATATATGTATATTGTATATATTTAAGTCCACCGGCCGCCCTTTATCGATCTTCCCCTTCAGACTCCTCCTGGCTTTTACCTAACCGTCAACTCACGACGCCACTCATTCAACGATCCAGCCCATTCATGTGGAGAGGGTCAACCTTTACCAATACAATATTCCATTATAAAATATTTAAGCCTCTTTCACACGGGCCGGCTGGTATTGATCCGCCGGCAGTGGTGGTTCGTACGCAATGCCACGGTCGCCACCCTCTAGATCGCGCTTGAAACGCACACGGCACACATACCACAGCATTCCTGGTTAGTCCATTCAACTCGGCACGACTTTTGGCCCACACAACCCCTAACAGCCCACTACACCACCACAGGAAATTCAATCTCGCGCAAGCGTTCCCCGGAGCGTCGGATCACCGAACGCCTACAATGGCATCTTACCCGCGCAACGGTTTCATTTATTTTTATTTTTGTACACTATCGATGAATTTTATTTCCAACATTTAACGATCACATATTTATCTATAGGTAGACAGGTTAAAATTAAAATACGTGCCTGTAAGTATAAGCCACGTGAGAGAGCGATGAAAATATATATAGCCACGCCGAGTCGCAGTATATATAGGTATACAACATTGTATCTACGTTTATTGGTGCTGTGGGGTGGAAACGAGAGGGAAATATATTTCATTCACCTTCCGAGCGTGCCGAGGTCACCGCAAAATCGATGAACGACTACTAGCGCGGGAGGGTCACTGACACGGGGTTGTTCAGGGGGTTATGGAAATTGTTTTCACATAATATTTCATTCATGTATACAATATGAAATGGAGAAACTACAACACTGCTAGCGCCTTACAAATTAATTATAATTTATAACCACGGGATAACTATACTGCACGCCATGTTATAATATTAGAATTTATGTTATAGTATAAATTGCACGAAAATGTAAAATGCTAAATTTCTTATATCATAAAATAGTTATTAACGTTTTGTAAGTAGGTAGATACTTTTATTTTTGCTCATCTATTGACTCAGCTTATTTTGTACTTATTTAGGTAATATTATGTATACTTAGAACTAATTTCCACTATTTTTGATTGAATACAAGACTTACATAATATAAGCATACACCATACTATAAACCTAAGTATTACCTATATAGATTGAAAGGTTATACCCACTTAAAGCTTTATTTAAAATTTGAATAGCATTTTCATATTCCGCCATTCACCAAATATTCAATTTTACGATTTATGGCAAAATGTTTTCATTTTATTTACTAGGGTATTTTAATTCGGTTTAGATAAAAATTGAAATTGCATATAATCGTATAATTCCTTGGGTGTAGACTACATAATATTACCTATTAAATATTTTATACAGTTATTCATTTTATCGTTATTTTGCTATATATATATTATATTATATTGCCTGCATAATATATATTAATATATTCACAATAATTATATTATACTATGACGTGATGGTTTTATTCGAGGTTTTATTTTGTTGAAAAATGTTTACATTTCAAAATAATAATTTTAAAATTCAAGAAAATGTGCAATGGACAAAAAATATTAAATATGAAAAGTATTAATCTCGGAAAAATGTTGAAAAAATACAAACTTCTAGTCAAATAGTAATATTTAAAAACACCCAAATCGTAATAAAATATTAAATGAGTATCTCAAGTCTCTACCTAACATGGTAAACTACCTATATATGTTTTATAATAAATATTTAAGTTAGTATTGCATGTTAGGATGGGTACCTGTTATGAGTGGCGGTTCTACGACTGTGGATGGGCCGAAAAACGAAGGAACTTCGGCGCTCGTCGTGACGGGTGTGTTGAGATCGGTGCCGGCGTTTCCCTGTGCCGGGCTGTGGCACGCCGAGTTACCGGTGCCGTGTCCGCCGTTGCCCACGTGTCCACCAGTGCCGGTGGCCACGCCGCCCTTGTACGTTTCAAAGCTGAGCACGTTAAAGTGCCCAGCCGCCGTGGTGGCCGTGGTGACGGCGGCCGCAGACTCGGCCAACAAGTACGGGTGGTGATGATGATGATGGTGATGATGGTGATGCGCATGATGGAGCGGCCCGACGCCTGGCTCAAGGGCACCGCACTCCATGATCATATCGGCTTCGGGCTGTTGTTGGTGCTGCTGGTGCTGATGCTGCTCCGGGACACCTACGGTACAAGCGTCACGCCGATCGCAATTATTATTAGCAGTGCCGGTACTGTTGTTGTTGTTGTTGTTGGTGGTGGTGTTTTGGTTGTCGTTCGCGGTACGATCGGCAACGGGTGCGCGGTCTTTCGGATCAATTATTGGGCACGGTGGCGGCGACTCTGGCGATTCGACCAGCTCGATGTCGTGGAACGGGTACCAATCGTCCGGTGGTGGCGACCACGAGCTGGGGGCCAGGGGCACGCGGATCACGCACCTGGACAGTGCCAGGCCTGAGCTGGGGGGTTGGCGCGTGCGGTGACAAAAACGGCGACGAGCGAATAAACTTTTTTTAGTAATCGTTAAGCCCAGACGATGACTGACGGTATGCGCATCAATGCGGTAAGTACACGTATTGTGTTATTATAATAAAATTATTTATAATACAAACTGTGTCAAGAAATAGCGGACGTTCAGGTTTTTGAAAAACCGAAATTATTATTTTTTTCTGAAACACGCAATATGATATCAATAGGTACACCTATAAAATGTATTATAGGTAGGCGTCGATGATATAATAATATAATAATTTATAACAATAAACGGGGGCGCGCACACTCGACGACGACGGTAAATAGGACGCGCGTTTCGTCGTTACTGCGATAGTACTGCGGCAACGCACATGACTGGGGCCGCTGCACTTGCACACACACACAAACGAAAACGTAAAACGCACACGCACACGGTCACGCACACGCACGTGATGCTGGCGCCGGTCGACTTGTTGAACTGAAGGCGCGCGCGACGCGTGTGTCGGGATACGCGGCGGCCGTACACACTGAGAAAGAGCGCACTGCCCACACCGCGGCGCGGGGCGACGTATAAGCGACGGTTTTATGAATGAAGCCCGTCTCTGTCCCATATATGGCAACGAGCGCCGGCGGTGGCGGTGCGGAGGAGGCCGGGCGGACGGCGGCACCCCGGACCAATGGCAGCGCGCCCGTAACGGTGACGTCGGCGTGACGTCACTCGCCGCAGACGACCTGCCGTACACGCACGAACCGCCGACACCGCCGCCACTACCGCCGGAGATGGTGGTGGTCGCGGTGGATGGTGGTGGTAGTGGCGGTGCTGATGGTGGTGGTGGCGTTCCGGCGATGGTGTCTCGCCGGTGGTGGTGGGGAAGGCGAGGATTTCGCGATACCTCCCCACCGCCGGTACGGTCGTCGCGCCCCATCCAACCCCCCTTCCCCCCCCTTACAAAGCCGAGTCGCAGAACGAAACCCTCCGACGACGCGGCGTCGTCGTCGTCCCTACCGCGCTGTACATAATATTATAACGTCGTTTTGGATTTCACTCGTTATAATAAAATAATAATAATAATAATATATTACATCGTATTTATTAGGTATAATATTATTATAGTGCGTCGTTTTATTTCTCTAGCCGCCGTCGATCGCGTGCGCAGGTTCAAAAATCGTTATTATTTCTCATCGTGACGTCTTACATATTATAATATATTATAATAATGTCACACAATCACACGGTGTACCTATAATAATAATAATAATAATAATAATATATCACCGTTCGCCGCACGATATTATGTCGACTGAGTGTATCTTCTTACGGACGCTGTTTTTATTATTATTTACCTACACGTCTAATCGCCGGCTTACATTTTTATTATTTCTTGTTCTGGCTTACTTTTTTACATATTATATTCGTGTACACATAAATAGTATATAAAAATTTAGACTACTCTGCGATGTAAGTATGTACTTACTTTTTCTCTTTCGAAATCGAATCCTTAACCAATGACCATGTAATAAATATATATTATATATACTATAAACCTTTACCGCTCCAAATATACCTAATTCCGTTCGTAAAGTTTGAGTGCCGATCAGCCTTTTACCGATTTTTCGTAAACAGCAATATTTCAGTGTAGGTATGGCATTTATCTATGTTTATAATAATAATAATAATAATAATAATAGTATAAACCTCACCTAATTGTCTGAAATTCTGTGGGAATTATTAATTTGATAAAAATATTATAAGTGATGCAGTTATAATATTGGTCAAAATTAATAGAAATTATTATTAACATGGCGTCTATAAACAAATAATATTGCTGAAAATGTTCTAGACGCAGGTAAATAATATATATGCAAGTATATTTCCTGCAACTGTATACACAATATTATCGACAATATTTTTGTGTTTTTTTATATTATGTGTTCAAAAATTATACTCGTAAAATGCATGAATCATAATATGTATAGGACTATATTATGTTCTATGTCCTATGTGTTAGGTACATAAGTATAGTTTAGGTACCTACTAACTACGAAAGTTAAGAGATGCAATTTAATTTTGATACTTATTATAATGTTGTTAGAAAAAGAAGAATATTGGAGTTAGAATAAATAAAATTACTTAAGTTTACGAGCCTCTGAATATTTTAGTAGACATTTGAAGGTTAGATGACAATATTGAATATAATATAGTATAACCTTTCGTTTTTAATTCAAGAACTTTATATTGGCGCACAAGTTGAGTGTTTTAAGCGAGTTTCAGGGACTTACTAACAACTCGACAATATATTGACCCATATCGAATAATTTATTAATAAAGGCTGAATACCAGGTCCTATACATTGTCAATTATATATAACTATATGCATATATGCATACACCTAATATACGAGTCTATCGTCTATGTATAAATAGGTACTGTTCAATAAGTATGCGTATAATGCCGTGTTCATTCATACGCTGTTGAAGATTTGATAGATTCCATTCGTATATAGTTGGTCGAATAGTATGTAAGTTCGATGGTATATGTATACCTAATGGGTATTTAGTATTTACTGTAGATAGTATTGATAGAACATGTATTAAAAATACATAATATCAAAGATGAGTAATTCAAATTATAACCACAAAATTGTCCAAATTGAACAAAAAATATTTTTTACAATAATATATAAAGAATAATACTGTATAGCGTATGGCGTTGCTATTTATTGTATATACGAGTATTATACTAAGTATAAATTATGGTTGTATGAAAAAATAATTATAAAAATGATAAATATTAAAAATGTACTCGGTCGTATAGGTACGCCTACGCATTAATTACGTTATATATGGCCAAAAACTAATGAATTATTTTTATTTTTAACCATCAACATTGTATTTTTAGAAAAGGCAATGTTCTATAAAAAAAAAATACGAATAATCTTTGTCTAGTGGATACCTATAATTATGATTAATATAATCTTGGTATGGAGTATTCATTTTAACAACTCATGAAAACTTTTTTCAAAACTTCTTATGTCTTTGATAATAAATAATATATTTATATATATTTTGAACTTTAGAATTTTAGACTTAATACTGACAGATATTCCAGTGTACCATCAATGACGTAGATAGCTGGTTACTCGTAGGTTATTTATATTGTCAAAAATAAACGATGTTAGTTTCCGGTGTCATTTCAAAGAAATCTCATCATTACACGGCACAATTAAAATTAAGTATGTGATGTCTTAAAAAATAAAATAAAAATATTTTTAATAAAATACCATAAGTATTATGGAAAAAATAGGATCTAAAAAAATGTCTAAACTGGCATTGAATTACGAAATACATAGAACCATAAGTTTATTTTTACTGAATTTCTGTGAAATATGAAGCATTATAGCGTATGTATAGTATCTAAGTATAGCTACGAAAAAAATTTAAATATTAGCCTGGTATAAATATAGTGTGCTTGTCACATACTCACACTTTTAACTATAACATACATAATATGTACACTTTCCTATAAAGAATAATAACTATAGGAAGTCACTCTACCTGGTTATACCTAATAGCCAATAGGTACTTAACTTTTATATCTATAGGGTAACTCGTCATAGCATCATCCAGTATTGGTGATTCTATGTGTTAAATTAGTAGGCATAACTTTAAAAATAATAGCTCAATATTAAAAATATTCTGATTCTCAGTTTTTAAAAATATGTATAGATTTCTAAGAATATTGAAATTTATATTTATAAGTAATTCTGCATGAAGTTGAACTAATTTATGACAAAAAGATATTGCATATATGATATTATACCAATAAATTAGTACGATATCATCATTTCATCTAATATTACAAGTTGTTATTATTTATTAACTGATATAAGTCAATAAACCGACTTGACACGTACCGTGAAACTGTGTGATAGGTTTTTGGTATAAATAGCATAAAATTAATCTAAATATTTTGAAAAAGTCATTGTATGTATACAAAATAATAATATACGTTATGGCAGAGAGCCAAAAGTTTCAAATTCCTAAGATTATTGTGTATTGATATACCTACAACAAAATATTAAATAACCAAAATCGTTGTGTTTTGTTTTAATATTAAATTTTTTTTTAATTTAAACTTAAAATATCTATAAAAATGTATAAGTATAATATACATATTTTTTTTTAATGTTTAGGTTATTGCAATGCAAAAAAATTGTATGGGAAACGTTGTACCTAGGTAAATAATTTTCAAACCTTAAAAATGCTTCAATTATCAAAAATGAAAATGTTATGTATTTTTAACTACAAAATAATTTACATATTTCGGTGATTTTGACGAATTTCGTAAAAAATTGAACTTAAAACTTTTATAGAAAATAATTGTTGCTGTATTTTTCGATGTTAAAAAGCGCATTGTATAAAACCGTTGCATATACATCGGAGGGGAGCTCTCAGAATCTAAAACAATTATAAATTTAAATCACTGAGTTAGTATTTTATCTATTGTATATTATATTAAAGTGTTATTGCAATATAAATTGACCAAAATAATGATTGAATAAATTGCTAGATAGTTTAATTTTATACAAACAATAATAAGGTTTCTCATCTAATTGAAAATTTTGATACAGTTAAAATTCTATTAACACTAAAATCAGTGAAATTATTGTACATTTTATAAAATCTAAACAATTTTTTCGTGATGTTATATT